TCGGAGTGAGCAGCTATGATTTGGGATATGAAATCGCTCGGGAACGGTGGAATTCGAAGAATCTGTGTTTCTCTGCCGCGTCCTGCCAGGGAGAGAGGGGAGGGAGAGGGAGAAAAAGAGGGAGATGAGAATCTTCTCCACTCCGTCTACTTTTGTAGTTTTGGCTAATTCTCAGATATTTAACTTTCACCGATATGAGTTTTTCTCTCTGTCCCTCTTTTCTATGGTTTTTCCTTTTTATCTATACATTTAATGAGCTATTTTTAAAATCTAAATTTGTACTACTTAAGGGGGTGTCTGGGTAGGAGCTTGAACTAATCACATAGAAATCTAAGTATTTTCTCTATTATAGCTTCAATAAGATATATCTTTGGGGGAGGACATTGCTTCTCTTTTAAATCCACTTGATCGTATTCTGTACACCTAGTTGAGATCTGATTGTGGTTTTATAGATGTCAGTTATCCCCTTAGTGGCCAGGTCTGGGCTCTTAGCCTTCTCTGGAAAAAGGTTCTGAGGCTTGCACCATAAATACAATTTTATTATTTTTTTCATAAATACAGTTTTAAGCCCCCAACAAGATAACTCTCTAGGGTTCTGCTTTTCACTGTCAGCCCACCTCAGGAGGCAACCCCACTGATGGTTCCCTGCAGCAGGCCACTGGTTCTAGGGTGTGGGGTCTCCTTCTCAGTGAGGATCAAGTGTCTTTAAGACTGGCTGAGCCCTGATGAGGGCCCACCGTTTCCTGGTACAAAAATTCCAGGTCTCAGAAATCCCTCAGTCCCCCCAGAAGTCACAATGGTAGAGTTGCTCAAGTGCTCAGATTTTCAAGAGCAGGCAGGCATGTCCACGTGGAGCTGAGCACCTCCTTTTTCTGCTTCCTTCACATCCTTCCTGTAACAGCCAGAGGAGCCAGGCAGTGACTCCTGTTCCCAGGGGCAGAGAGTAAAGAGCCAGCATTATCAATTTTCCTTAAGTTCTTGTTGGATGAGAGGATTGCAAATATCTGTCCAAATTCCTAAGGAGAAAGAACCGATGAAGATGAGCACAGCAGCAGCCAGGCTGGGAAAGATAGCTGCAGGGAAACCTGTCCTTACCCCTACTTCGCCTCTACTGTAAATAAACCTGGAGCCAAAGGGCTCATCCGTCTCCTTAAACAGCCAGTAAACTTTATATGACACAATATCTAATAGTAATTTATTGGGGAGATATTGTAAATTCCAACGGTTTTAGTTAATAAAGGAGCTAATTAAAGAGGGAGGGGCTGTGCTCGGCCAGCTGTTGGCGATACCATAATACATCTGGGAGGGGATGTGAGGGGTGCAGGGGTGTGTGTGTGCCATATTTTTGGTGTGGCTTTTTTCCTCTTGCCCCGTGTCAGGAGATCGTTCACTCTTCCTCGATAGGTTTTATATAATTTTTTAAAAACCAGAATCCAGCGAATAAACCTGCCCCGCCCTTCGCCCCCCCACCCGGGATTGGGGATGGGGAAGTTGGAATTGGTGCGGGGCGAGGGGGGAGTCGGCTGTCCCCACCCCTCCCCCTGGCGGCGGCGCCCACGTGAGCAGGGCGGCCAATGGGTGGCCGGTGCAGGTTTAACTATGTTTAATGTCAGATAGCAATAAAGTAGAAGCTGCCGGTCTGGCCCCGCGGAAATGGGCGAGCATAATCTCCTGAATCCTGGGTTTGTGGGGCCGCTGGTGAATATCCACACGGGAGACACCTTCTACTTCCCCAACTTCCGCGCGTCCGGGGCGCAACTCCCCGGGCTGCCTTCGCTGTCCTATCCACGCCGCGACAATGTGTGCTCGCTGCCCTGGCCGTCGGCTGAGCCATGCAATGGCTACCCGCAGCCGTATATCGGCAGCCCAGTGTCACTCAACCCGCCTTTCGGCCGCACGTGCGAGCTGGCACGCGTGGAGGACACCAAGAGTTACTACCGCGAGCCGTGCGCTGAAGGCGGCGGGGGCCTGAAGCGCGAGGAGCGCGGGCGCGACCCAGGAACGCTGGAGCCGTCGGGGCCGCCAGGGCTCGGCTTCAAGTACGACTACGCAGCAGGAGGGGGGGGTGGCGACGGCGGGACCGGACCCCCACACGACCCACCCTCGTGTCAGTCGCTGGAATCAGACTCCAGTTCGTCCCTACTCAACGAGGGCAACAAGGGCGCCGGCACAGGGGACCCGGGCAGCTTGGTATCGCCTTTGAACCCCGGCGGCGGACTCTCGGCCAGCGGTAAGGACCCCGGCCCACGAGTGCCGCTTACTCAGGACTTCTTTCCGAGGCGGGTAGGGAAGGACGGAGCTAGGACTGCCGAGGGTGACAGAATGCTTGGTGAGCTGGCGCTTCTTTTTAAAAGAAGTGTGGGGGGGGCTATAAACATGTAAATATCCCCATAAAAGAGCTGCAGAGATTTCCTTTTTCGTTAGCCTGTGGCTAGAGGGGCAGGGAGCTCCGGAGAAGGGGGATTCTGATGGAGACTTCCCCTGGCCTGGGTTAAGGAGGTGGCAAGGAGATCATAGTTCTCTCCCAGGCGCTTACCTTCCCACAGGCCCTGGGTCACCTACATTTTTTTTTAAAGAAACACCAGTGGACACTGTTTACTCTTCACCAATTGTCCATGTTCCTTCTAACTGATGGGAATTCCTTCTGTGGAAGGATCATGCCAGGAAATAAGGAGAGTCTTGGGAATAGGTGCATAGGAACATAGGAGGGTCACAGATACCGCTGCAGAAGGTAGGGTAGAGGAGGCAAGTAGTGAAAGGGAAGGGAGTGTGATGAGGTGGGAGAATTGGTAAGGATGGGTACAGGAAGCGACTGGGATGCCTGGAGGCAAGGAGGGAAAGGAAGGGTCTGGGATCTGTCATGAGGCCAAGGTGGAAGGGATCTGGGGAAGGGCTGAGGACACTGAGCTGGTCATCCCTTGACCCTCTGGCCAATCCTGCGGTTCATCTCCACCCAGGCGCGCCCTGGTACCCGATCCACAGCCGTTCACGGAAGAAGCGCAAACCCTATTCGAAGTTGCAGCTGGCGGAGCTGGAGGGCGAGTTTCTGGTCAACGAGTTCATCACACGCCAACGCCGGAGGGAACTCTCGGACCGCTTGAATCTTAGTGACCAGCAGGTCAAGATCTGGTTTCAGAATCGGAGAATGAAAAAGAAAAGACTTCTGTTGAGGGAACAAGCTCTCTCCTTCTTTTAGGGAGCAGGACACGGGCGCCAGCCCCAGACTGAGCCTGTCCTGGCAAAGAGCAAGAGGGGGTGCCGCCAGGGACGTGGTCCCCGCTTAAAACGCCAGTTGTCTCTGGCAGGCCCTCCCTCTTGCCTGATTTGTTGGAGGTTCCCTCCCACTCACTCCCCTCAAGGCCCTGCCAGGTCCCAGAGAGAAGGGAAAAAACCCAGCCAGGGAGAAGGGAAGCCCACAAATGCCAGAAGGTGGCAGGGACAGGAAACACTGGGGCACTGCAAAAGGGGCTGGTTTATCTGAGGCAGGACTTGGGCATGGCCCCTCCGCCTCAGGCTAGGCTCTGGAGAAGCAGTGACTCAGAAGCCCCTTCCCTCCACTTCCCTTCGGGGTCTTAAATCTCTATTTGGAGGAGTGGAGGAGGGTGAGGACAGTAGAAACCAGCACCCATACTCACAATTATCGGGGTTACGTGAGGTTGGGAGGAGGGCAAATGAGTGGAGGATCAATTTAGAGTAGAGAGGGTTAGGGTAGCTCTGGCAGGATGGAAGGAAGGGAGGAGGAAGCGCGAGAATGATCTGCAAAGCCTAAGATCTGTTCTGGTCTGGGTGCTCCAGGCCTAGATACTGGGGGCTGAAGCATCCTCCTTGGCAAACCCGGCTATGGACAAAGCAACCATCAGCCTTATGTTCCCTCTAGGACCGGTTGCCAGAATGGTCTCCTAGTCCCCAGCCCACTCAGGAGTCTCCTGCCCGCCCCAGCCAACACCGGTTCACAGGTGTGATGCTACCCACGCTTCCTGCCGCCTAAGGCTGCGGGCCGGAAGCGGGGAGGGGAGAAACCAGAGCCAAGAAGATACCACCACAGGTTCAGTAGCCACCCCAGGGACTCCCACCTGGCCTTCTGAGAAGCCCAAGAGACTCAGGAAGGGGCTTCCTTCCTTCGAAGCGAGGCGTTTATTGGCGGGCAGTTTCTGGCATCCACAGCGGCCGCCGATGATTCTCCCTTCCCTGCTGGCGTTCACGGTCACGGCCGGCCTGAGGCTGGACCGGCATAATTTACGAGGCGGAGAAGAACCCGCCCTTAAAGGGGCTATGGGCGGCCGCGGAGGCCCGCTCAGCCCCCATTTCCCAGGCTGGTGACAATGAAGGAGGGGGTCGCTGCAGTTCCCCCACCCCACAGCTTTCTTTTTTTTCCCTACCCGCCCCCCAACATTGCCCTTTGTCTCTGGACCCGCTGCCTCCGCCTCCCTCCGGACCACCAATCCGCTGAGCGTGAGGACCAGAGCAGGGGTTGGGAGGCACTTCCCTAGAACCCACTGGAGGTCAGAGAGTGGCTTCTCCAAGTGGAAAGGGCTTTTTAATCTGTAGACCCCTTAAAGCTCCAGGGCAGATAACAGTTTCATAGATCCTGGCTGGCTCCAGAGAGAGGAGCAGATGAAAGAGCCCACCCCACACCACACACTCCTTGGTGCATTCCGTTTTAATTTTCGTGAGTCCTCCAACCTCCCACCTGCTCTCCCACCCTTGTGAAAGTGAGAGGGCTAAGAAACAGGAGACTGATGGGACCCAAATACAGCCCGGACAGGGTGAAATTGGCTTGCTGCCTTGGAGTGTTTCCTGCAGGAAAGGTCTCCCTACTCTCCAGGGACAAAACCCGGAAATGAACAGAGTACCTGGCCCTCACAACAGCACTCCACTTCAAGTCCCAGTACTCATACAGAGATGTAGGCAAACACATACACACAGCTGAACCCAGCAAACCTCTGGCCCCACCCCACTCTCTCTATTGTATTTGCAGGCCTGCAGCCTCATAGCCCCTTACAGCCCTAAAGAGAGGAGATACAATCACACACCTTCCACTGGGCACCTGAGACCTGACTAACATCCCACCTTGTTTTACCCACATACATGTTGTAGAAAGCACCTTCATTCCAGCTGTCCACACAGTCTTCAGTGGGCTGGGTTGAAGAATGAGACACTACACCCCAACCCCAGCCTGGTCAACTATTATACCCTTTCTTTAAGCCCTTCCTGTGACTAAGTGGTCCCTAGGGTGTTGAATTCAAGCACCATCACTCTGGCCTGACTCCCACAACCTAATGGAAAAGAGACCAGAACACTCCAAAAAAATGAGTGTATAGGGGGGTGGGGGGCAAAGATATGCAATATTCTCTTTCTTTTGCTTTAATCTTGACTTCAGTGAGCTTCTCTATTTGTGTCCTGTTCTGTGTGTCTATAACTATTACCCAATGTAGTCCCTGTGGGTAGTACCCACTTCTCTACCTTTCTTCCCAGTTCTCTGTAGAGTACTCTTCTATTCAAATGTCTCTGTCTTTAGCACGTTTCCTCCTTATATAGTCCTTGTACAGAGTTGCTTCAACATATTAATATTAATATTAATTAAAACATGGATGTACAATGATGTGATTTTTGAGAACAATTTTTAAATTGGTACCACAAATATAGTCTCCTCTGTTCAGAAACAATGAGAGCCAAGCCCCCAGCTGTTCCCTGCTTTATTTCTCCAACTCAGGTGAATAATAATCCTCCTTATATAGTCCTTGTACAGAGTTGCTTCAACATATTAATATTAATATTAATTAAAACATGGATGTACAATGATGTGATTTTTGAGAACAATTTTTAAATTGGTACCACAAATATAGTCTCCTCTGTTCAGAAACAATGAGAGCCAAGCCCCCAGCTGTTCCCTGCTTTATTTCTCCAACTCAGGTGAATAATAAAAAAAAGCTGCCATCACTAGTCCCAAGCAATTACAGGCAGAAAAAAATGAGGGGTGATAGACTAGGGGAGGAGAGGGAGTTCTGAGGAGTCTTGGGCTTGTAAAAATAATGTGGACAGCCTACAGTGGGTGAAGCTAGCTGCAAAAAAAGGTCTACACTGCAGGAACTGGAAGGATAGAAGCTGAGCTGGAACTTGGGGCTACTAAGAATGCCTTGGGGATGGGAAATGGGAGTTGGTGGGTCCAGAGTTTTAACCCTGTAGTTCTAATGCAGGAGCTTTACTCTGAGAGGACATTTTGTGTATTGCTAGATGACTGAGCAGTGGACTAAAGGCCTATTGGAGCAGATGAAACAGGCTCCACCTCTTGAAGCCAGCATGCTTGCCAGAGATAGGCTCAGGTCCAGGCTAGTGGCAATGGGACGCCTGTCCCCAAGAGCCCTAAGCACCTCCACCAACGCTTTCTTTTTATATGAAATGCCCTCCCTCTGCCTCCATCCTTGTGCCTCTTTTTTGTCCACCAATTACCATTTCTAGCTGTCTGGCTCCAGTCCTGGGAATCCCTTCCAAATTCCCCCTCCATCTTCCCAGGAATACCAGGGGGCCCCCACTGAGCAGACTTCAGAGCTACCACCTCCTACCCTACCTGGAAATGAAAATCTTTTTCTCCCTCCCTCCCTTTCTTTATTCTTGCAATTGGATAAACTAGCAAATTTAGAACAAATCCCATTTTCCCTTTATTCCTAATCATCAGCTGCCTTGCAGACCCAGGGGGTATGGGCATGAATTAGACTCCAAGCCCTGGGAATACTCATACAAAGGCCCAAGAGAGTGCAGGAGAAGCAAGAGGATGTCCACCTTCTTGTAGCCATGTCCTGGGAGGGGAGCTAGTGGCTGTGCCAGGGCCTGAATAAGGGGGAAAGAAGGAAGTCTGAATCTCTTGAGCGTAGCAAAAGACTGTTCACTTCTTAAGATCTGTCTACACAGGAAGGACCAACAGTGGAAGAATTTCTGGCTTTAAAAAATGGAGGTGGAATTTAAAGAGACTATGAATAACTGGCCCTTAATTTATTCCTAGACACTTCCAATCTGAGAGAGAAAGCACCTTTTTGGGTACTGTCTATGCAGGCTCCCGGATTCAATAACTGAGGGAATTGGCAGAGAAGGAAAAACACTACAGCTTTCTACTCAGGGCTGAAAAGCAATTTTTTGTTCTTCCCACAGAAAAAAAGGAGGCCATGATTGGAACTAACAGTCATACTCAGGGCACAGCTGTGGACATGGGTGAAGATTTCTTCGCCTGTGTTGCAATTATTTGTCGAGTTTAAGTCCCAAACTTCCATGTCTTAATGTTCACATTAAGACAAAGGACTTTGTGTCTTTGAATCTCGAGAAGCAAGAAACTGGGAAAATCCTGTGAATAATTTAAAGAATCACTTCTGTTGTGTGTATGTACTGTTATATCACCCGAATGAGTTCTATGTTTGGCGCGATCATCCACGAAGTTGTTCTGCTTTACTATGATCTGCCCCAAGAAGTTGGGGTTTTAAAGCCAGGACTGAGTGAGCCAGTGGGAGATGGGCACAGCAATTTGGATTCTGTGGATGCTAATGCAGCCGGAAACCCAGTGGGATCCATAGCTGAGACCCAGAGTGGAGCAAGGACCGCGGGGGTAGAAACGCAAACAAAGCAAACCCCGGCGACTTTAGGCTCCGGCGAGCTGAAACCATCGCCCACCCTCCCCGTAGTGTGCAGGAAAGCAAGAACGGATGTTAGGCTCAGGGCCGCAAGGGAAACACCCTGAGCTGCTCAACCTCTCTTTGCGGTGAGCATTTGGAGAAACTGAAGGTTCTGGGGTAATTCAGCGCTAGGTGAACTGCAGGCTGGGAATCCTACTGCCGCTCAGATGCCCTGCCTTTGGCCTGAGCGGCCACTCTCTGTGCCTGCCTCCGTAGAGACAGGAGTTGCAGATTTTCCGTGGACGGGCCCGCCTCCCGAGCCCACTGATGCAAGACTTTCTAGCTTCTCCCGCCGCTCACCGCTGCAGGCCCGCCCTCTGCTTCGCGACTGCTGCTCTAGGGGAGGCCCGGAGACAAAGGCGGGTAGGCAGCTGGTGGATGACGCGGGAGCTTGGGCTGCACTTGGAGCCCTCAGTGCCCAGGTCTGGTGGAGAGGGTTCTGAGACTCCCGTCTCATTCTTCGTCGTTCTGGTCCCGCCTGCAGTTCTGGGAGGAGGAAACCCAGCGAGCCCAAAGCCCCGGCTGATTTGCGCAGCTCGCCGCTCTTCGGGCGGCAGCTGTGGTCGCCTCCGGAAGGCTGCCAGCCCCCGGGAAGGACGGGATGACCCCTGCTGGTCGGAGCAGTGGAGGCTGTCTGCCCTGGCCCCGTCCCACCCAATTCCTTGTCCCTAAGCACCCTAGCCCTGGGGGAGTTTGTAGAAGACCTTTGCAAGAGCAGCCCAAGCAGCCAGAGCCTGAGGCACTGCCTGCTCTGCGGGAACCAGACCTTTATTCTAAGTGCCTTCTCTCTACCGAACACTGTATCTCCACAGTGGCAGTTGGCCCTCCAGCTGGGCTTCTGGTCACTGGTGCTCTGTCCTGAGGCTTCTAAAGCCTGTGCCATCCGCTGGAACCTGCCACAGGAGCCAAGATACTTGGCTTACACAAGACTAAACACAGTCAGATCTTTGGCCAGTTAGGACTAGCCAGTTGCCGGTAGGCGATTTTGTCTCAAACCAAAGTGTTTACTGGATACTTAGAAAGAAGTCTTCACTATTTTCTCTGACCGTGAGTGGAGAACTTCCTTCAGTGACAGGTCAGAAAGCTCTCTGTGAAGAAACATAGTTCACAGGGACTGAGTACTATACAAAGATGTTCCATAAACACATCTGGCGATGTTGTGGCTATATCCAATGTATGCACACAGTCTAAAATGCAAGATACCTATATTACATGTACACTCTGGGCATGCAAAATGTTTCCTATGAAATATGAAATATAGACACTTTTATAAATTTCATGGGAAAGCAAGGTACTGGGAGAAGACTGCATATAGTATGTATATTCACCACATATAAAATGTATTTACACATATATATACATACATAGATAAACACAGCACATACATATATTCTACATTTGGAATGTACAATCCCAAATCTATTTAGCCACATGCTTATATACTCCATAAGGTATATAGAATCAGAGCATAGAAAATAAATGTAAATATTAATATACACATAAAGTCGCGTGAAAATATATTATACATATACAAAGTACATATCTACCCACTGGATAAAATATATTCTGTGAATATTTACACACATCGTGTATGTATGTACCAATTATATTCTTTGGGCTCACATATTGTATTTATAATATATATTTCTCTGAAGGTTTTAAAAATAAGAGCAGGAAAGAAGTCTGGGCATCAGTAATTGCAATCTCCACCTGCTGAATCTTTTTTCCCTCTGTTTTATATTTTTATTATTTTCTGTCTTTTAAAAGTGCCCTTCTATTTCTTTAAGCATTATCACAACTGATCTCCTATCTTATTTCCCTGTTGTAGCTCTGACCTGAAGCTGGAGAACACATTTAGAACATACTAAGTCTTGTCTGTAGCAGGGTCCAGTGCACAGTCATACTGTATAGGATGAGCATTATATAATTATGTCACCCCCACGTGTCTCAAGATCCATTCTTCTAGGCCTAAGGTAAACCTATTATAGAAATACTCTACTCCCAGGCAGAAAAAGGGAAGCCACAAGGCTCTGGTGAAGTATACAGCAGGCTCTTTGATTCTGGGCTGTGTGCTGGGCACTCAAGGGTTCCTGAAGTCTAAGATTTGGTTAAGTTTTACATTTTTTTATTTTAAATTCTTCAGTCTAGGGAGCAACAGGAAACAAAGGGTGGGCTTCTAATGTTATTCACAAATCTTGGAGAAGCCCCACTCCCCTGCACCCAGCCAGGGCTGAAAGACTGGCTAGTCGCAGCCCACTGCTCAGATTCCTACCCTTAAACCAAACTGGGTCTACACAAGCAACAAAGAAAGACTATCCGACAGCCCAAGAGCACCCCCCCCTCTTTTCTCAACAAGATCCACTCCCAGTGCTTTTGGAGAGCCATTTTCTGGCACTGAGCTGTTCTGGCCCCCTAAAAATTAGTCCCACTTGGGTCTTAGCAACTAAAACTCCAGAACTCTCTGACACATACCTATGGAAAAATTCTTTGAAAGACAGTGTGCTCACATCCAGCAGAGATATTGTTTATGAGTCCACGGTTCCGTGTAGACGCGGCCATATTTTACAGTCCAAAGGAATCAATTAATTAGCGCCTCCCAGTCCCCCCGCCGGCCACTGCTCGGCTGAGCGCACGCGGCTGAGATAGATGTGCGTGGCCAGCTCGCTGGTCTTGTTAACAAGCCTCGTCATAAAGATGGAGATGATAAGGAGAGCCAGAAAACTCCGGCGGCCACGAGGGGGGGCTTCCAGGGCTCAGCTCTGCAGTGTGCGAGCAGCGTAATGCTGTTTCCCTGGTGCTGTCCTGTGCCCACCCGGGTTTAGCCAGTTCTTTCCTCCTGAGGTGTTAATGCATCCAGCAGGAACTGCCCCCGACCCGCCCGCTTTCCCTTAATTTTCCCTTTTCTTTGTCTAGCCCAAAATCGGATTTAAAAATTAAAAATATATAAACCTCTGTCCGTGAGTGCCTGTCTTGCCCTCTGCAACGTTTGTTCCGGACCTGCCGCATCGCTCATTTCTCTGCATTTCTCAGGCTGATGCTCTTCCTTCCTCCAGCTCTCTCTCTCCCGCTTCGCGGTTGCTTTTTCTACCAGGGCTGGCTCAGACTCCAATGAGCTTATATAAAAAAATACAAATATCCCACGGTTATCTCACACCAGAGTGAACACCCCCAGATAAGCCAGACCCAATGAAAATAAAATTTAAAAAAAGAAACACCTTGGGTGTAATTGCTGGTTTAGGTTATAGCACTTAATTCTGTTTATTCTTGCAGATGTGCATACTTAACAGATATTGATATTAAAGGGCAAGGGGGAATTAATTTTACTTTTATAGTCATCTATTAAGAGCAGATGATCTGAGTCTCCTTTAAGGGGACCGAAGGAGGGGGAGAGAGGAAGGGGGAAGAGAAAAATATGACTGAATGGGAACAAAGATCTTTGCCTGAAGAAACAATGTAACACTAGACAGAACTATAAAGTCTGGGAATGTAAGAACGCAGGGCTCTCTCAGCTTCCCCCATTTAGAATCCTGTCCCTTGCATTTCCTGCTGAAATCCCGACCCTGACTACACAGTGGTATTCAAGGAAGAATTCATGTAATTATCCAGATAATTGTAGGGGGAGTAAGAGAAAGCATTTCCCCTTTATTGTCTGACCCTCTCTGGTGTCTGTGCAGAGAAGGAGGAGGGGCTGGAGGGGTGTGGGATACAGAAAAAAAGAAGGTGGTAGGGTCTCTCAGTATCACCCTATGTCCTACAAAATGGCTTCTCCTAAGTCAACAAGTCCCTACCTAGGTAAGAGCTTAGGGATTTTGAAAAGTACTTAAGAAAATTCAAGAGATTCAGTTTGAAAGTCTCTGATCCAGTTTCATTTTTAATATTTGTTTAGCTTCCCTTGAACCACATAGATCTATCTCCTCTAGTTTTGTAATCATCACAAGTAAGTGGATAATAATTATAGGGGTGTCGATTATATTATTTTATAGCCATACAAGATATGATTAGAGTTAATGTTGGAGGATTTGTTGGACCTGGGAGGCAGCAAAACCCAAGGTAGAGAAGCCCTGAAAGTCTTTATCTTTCCTATTTTACATGTGTGGAAATCTCCAGAAACTCCTAATAATATACATTCCTTTCCTGGACTTCCAAAGGGAAATCTGTGGGATTTTAGGAGTTATAAAGCATAGAGAAGAATGAACAACTACTTGGTACTTGAACTCTGCCCCTCTTAGTCTAGGAAGCAGAGGACTCTACTTTTCTTGTCCCCCCAAAGTCAAAGCCTCAGTTCTCAGCACCAGGCCATTAGGATTATGGGGAAACATGGCAGGTGAGGCCAGTGACAGCAAGAAGGGATTTATGAAAACCACATTCATTGTCAACCCCAAGTGGGTGTAACTCACCCCAGAGTGAAACCTTTCTTGATCACAAGTTGGCCTTCTTTCCTAGAGCCTCCATGCCAAGGACAGATACAAAGGGGCAAAAACCCAACTGGCACTGCACAGGTCAGTTTCAATCTGGGAAGACAAAATATTTCTATCTTGTTTCTGGGAATCAAGAGACAAGAAGGCTCTGGGAGAAGAGGAGAGAGGTTACTATAGAAGCAAAGCCAGAGAGGAAGGCAAGAGAATTGAGGGAAAATATGAAACCACAGGCAAGATTACAAGGAACAAGTGAAAGAAAGGGGACTGGAAAAACAGGAGTAGAAAACAAAGAAAGGAAGGAAAGAAAAGGAAAAGGTAGGAAAGAAGAAAACACAGAATTTAAAAGAGAAAGAGAGGTGGGAGGGAGGGAGGGAGGGAGGAAGGGAGGCAGAGGCAAGGGTCAGTGGTTGCTCAGGCTTTGCCAGGAGTCTGCTTGCTGCAGTCTGGGTGGGCGGGGGCGCCCTTACAAAGTGAAGGTCAAGTTAGCATCGTACCTTATAAGGAAGGCGGCAGTCTTCTATTTCAGCCTTTCTTTCCAGAAGGACAGGGCAATGGTATTTCTCGTCTTGTAAACACTGGACTGTATGAGACCTTAAAAAAATAAAGACCCTCCTCATTCCTTTATTGGGGGTGAGTTCGGCTGTCTGGATGAGGGAAGCTCCGGACCGGGAAGTCAACTAATGAAGACTCCGAGAAACTTTTCTCTCCTTTTCTCTGTCTGGCTCCGCTCCCTGCCAGCTGGGCTCCCTCCCTCCCCCACCCCGCCTCTTTCT